AGGGAAATACCACAGGTGTGGATTTCACAGTACCACGCAGAAGAAACATGCTAGAAAGAATATGCACACAATCACTGAACAAATTGGACAGATCTCTCTCTTAGACACACTCTATTACTTTCTAATTTACAAAATTAACCACTCGTTCTCAGTAATAACTTTTGGAACTCTTGGATCAAGTTGTCTTTCTAAGACACTCATGAGCTACAAACATAACTAGGACAATCTTCTGGTCGTGCTAACCTCAAAATGCAGTACTTTTTATTAGTTAATTGAGGCAGCATGTTAGGGCAAGTTGCCCCCAATGACGAGATCAAGCCCCATCCTCAGTAATCCAGGAGTAAATACATGCTCCTACAACAAACTAAAAACAATTTCCCTGGATGAAACAGATAAGTGTATGGCTGATGTTATTTGAACCTTTGCTTTGACCTTCAGGGCTGGACCACTGAGAAATGTGTAGTCATGTATTCCAAAATATGAAGAAGCAGGTATGTAAATATGCTGAAGGAGGGAAAGCAGACAAAACATCTCCTTCAGGCAACTCTTAAAACACAATTTGAAATCAGAAGGAAGAAAGTCAACCATGATTTCAACAGATTCAAAAAGCCTTCCCTAAAACAGGCAACAAGTCTGAAGGCTGCTCAAGTGCAGGAAAGATTTGGCCAAGGGGGGAGTTAATGCAACAGCACTGACCTCACTCAAGAGGGGAAACGGACAATCTGTTGGGATATATGAGGAATAAAAATATCATAATTTAAGCATCCTAATTGTGTTATCAATACGATAGTTTACGTCCAAGTAGTTGAGATCCTTACCTTTTGTTAATAGGCTTTTCATCTTTCTCATAGGGCCGGATGAACCATTTCCCAATCCTTACAAAGTTCTTATCCATTAGGCATCTTTGGGAGAAAAAACGACACACACACACATCATAATTACTCAGTAAGTGCTGGAAATATTAAACTCATCATCTTCACTCTGCCAAGCTCTTCCCATCCTTGCTTAGACTCTTATGTAATAATGGGTAACCTTGCCCCCAAGTTACCATTTAAATGAAATGGTCCCTATTCAATTCCAGTCCGGACTGCATCAAGCTGAAACTGAGGAGTAGTCATCCTTAAGGAGGTTTATTTCCAAACTAAACATGCCCATGATTATAGTAAAATTATTAATGTTTCAGAAAAACAGATTTCACCATTTTCAACAAGCACAGAAGACTGGATTCGTTTTATTATTTGATGTTGGCACTGGCATCATATAAAACAACAATTTTGTTTTGGATTAGGGCAGGCATCCTCAAACTGCGGCCCTCCAGCTGTTTGGGCTTTCAACTCCCAGAATTCCTGACAATTGAACAAGCTTGTTAGGGCTTCTGGGAGTTGGGTGCCCAAACAGCTGGAGGGCCGCAGTTTGAGGATGCCTTAATTAGGGACTACGGCCTACTGGTTATTTTTCATTTTTTTAAAAAGGCCCAAATTTGGGGGAAGTGAAGGATTACAAGACGGTAATGGCTGCAAAAGCATCCTTCAGGCCACAAGTGATCCATATGTCAACCTTTCCCCACCACAACTTTAAATCACTGGCCTTGATACAAAATTAATATTTTAATGTCAATATAATTACACCTTTTAATAATGTTAAATTAAGCCTCTATAAATATGAATGATTCACTAACAGTACTCCTCCTTGGCTTTTATCCTAGAACAGTAGAGTCATCCCTGTGTTTCAACATTTTATTCAGAGATCTGTCACCATAAATACTAATAGGAAGTACCTATCCTTATGTAGCCAAAAAAGTAGTACCTACACTTAGGAGGAAGACATCATGAGGTTGGGAAAACCCATAATGTTTGCAAATGTATTTTTTAGAAATCTTTAGGAGGAGTAATACTAAGAGTAATAACATTAATAAGAGTAATAACAATAATAAGATTAATAACATTCCAAGCATAGTATCCCAACAGTTAGAAGACAACTGAGGCAAGGAGATGAAATAGTAGAGAGCATTAGCATTTACTAAGAATTTTTTAAAGGTAATTGTGCTAGGTAGGCAGCAGGCTCATCGTTCAAGTAAAGTCTCCATCACAGCTTTTCAGAAAACAGGACAATATCTATGTTCAAAACAACAAGATGGTCCACATTCAGCATTCAATTATTGGTATACCTATCCTACACTGAATCGTCTACTTCACTAGTAATTACTTTTCTCAAACACTTTACAAGCCAAGAGGAAATGTTGAGGGGAGACGTGATAACCACATAAAAACATGTGAAAGAATGCCATAAGGAAGAGAGCACGGGCTCATTTTCTGCTGCAATAGAAACTAGGACTCGGAGCAATGGGTTCAAATTACAAGGAAAGAGATTCCACCTGAAGATTAGGAAGACCTTCCTGACTGTAAGAGCTATTTAGAAGTGAAACTCTCTGCCTCAGAGGTTGGATGGCCATCTGTCATGGGTACTTTGATTGTGCTTTTCCTGCATGGCAGGGGGTTGGACTAGATGGCCCATGTGGTCTCTTCCAACTTTATTCTTCTATGATTATTCTATGATTCTAAAAATGAAACTAGTGCATTTCTCAATGTATTGACTTAATACAATGTCACAACCATTGCATTAGATCCTATATGAATAGAAGATAAGAAGAAAGAGGGTGACTCTTTCAATTAATGTACAAAAGAGAAATCTGTCAAAGAATCATCAGTGCATCTTGTTAATCATGGCTTTATATTTAGCTACTTAGGGATCTTTGAACCCAAGGTTATTTGAGATTATGAGCATAGAACATGTTTGTCAACAGAAAGCAAACCAGGAAAATAGAGGGAAGAGGGAGAACAATTCCAAGTAGCAACTGGGAACTACAAACCAATGTGGGATCGTGGTTTAACTACTATGGGAAAGTCCTAAGCTCAAATCCTTGCTCAAGCAGCAAATTCACAAAGCCACACTGGCCCAGTCAATCCTTAGTCTTGACAAGATTAACAAGGCCAAAGACTCTTGGGACTTACACCATAGAGGTCAAGAGTAGTACCTTGGTGCATGAAAATAGGACAGTGAAAAGGTTTCTAACTAATCTCAGCCATGGAAACCCACTGTGTAGCCTTGGGCAAGTCCCTCTCCCTCAGTCTCAAAAGAAAGCAAAAGTAAGCCCCCTCTGAACAAATCTTACCATGAAAACCCCATGATAGGGTGACCACAAGTCAGAAACAACTTGAAATCACACAACAAGAAAAGCCAGTGTCTTTGACATATTTTGGACTATAATACCCATCAGTCTTGAGCACTGGACATGCAGGTTGGTACTTATGGATGTTGCTTTTGAAAACACCAGAAAAGCATCTGGCTGCCTACCCCAAATGTTATCCCCATTGGCATATGAACAGATGAACAGTTTTTGAGGATAGAGATGAAATGAACATAAGAAAGGTTGATAAAAGAAATAAAACATGGAAAGGAAACTTTACATCAAGCTTGAAAAAAGAGAGATAAGAAAACGGTATATGCCTGTATGGACAGACCGACCTTGATGTCCAATTTGGATTAAACAAAACACTAACAAATCAATAATGTAGCTCATCTATGTAAACAGGCAGTTAATAGCCAAACAGCAAACTGATTCACGACACTTTAAATAGGCATTTAAATTAACATGAGAAAATACCAATTTAAACCACATTCCCTGTTTGTAATTCAGGATGTTTCTTAAGCAAGTGCATACTAATTGGTTGATACATTAAAACATGTTGATTTAAATACAGCTTTCAGAGAGCACTGGAAGGTATACTTTTATGAACCGCATTCATAGCCTACCTGTCAATGCATTCACTTTCTGCCAGTGTACACTTTAGAAGAATGGGTTACAATTTTTAAAGAAGAACAGGGATGGAAAAGGAGAATAAGGAAATCCATGTACATTTCTGGGAGAGCAAGAACCAAATAACAGATGATGATAGCTAAGACAATGTACAGGGCATTTCTGTCTCAACACATAATCTCACTGAATTTCAGGAAGAAATTCTATGGGTATCATAGATACCAAAACAGAAGCAGCAATAGTCAGTATTAGACGTCTATTGATAAAAGAGAGGGTACACATAATTTCAGTTATAATTTGAGATGTATTTTGTGCATTCCTTGTGAATATTTTAAGTTGCCTTGGAAGGCAAGCCCACACAACCGTTCTAGCAAATTTTGAGTCAACAGCCAATGAAGAAATGATTAAAACTGACTCATTAGGCCACTGAACCGATGGTGTTCTGTTGCAAACAAATCATACGTCGAAAACAACGCAAAGGAGACTTGAGACATGATAAAAACAAAACACCAATGGTTTTATCACAACACAAGAGATTAACATTTCAGTCAAATACTAGAAATGCACAAAGGATGGAATTAACATATTGATCTTTGTACAAAATCAGTGGAACTAAGAGCAAAACATAGCATGACTGTATATACACAATGAGTAATAGCAATGAGCAATGATTTCATACACTATGAACATGCTGTGCAGTTACACAAAATAATGGTAATAATATAATATAATATTATATTATTTATTTATTTATTTATATCCCGCTTTATCTCTTCTGCAGGAGACTCAAAGCGGCTTAACATAAAAGCATCAGCATGCAACTTAAGATATACAAATATGCAAACATTAAAACAAGATTAAATATAAACAGTATTTTAAAAAATCCCAGTTAAAAACCAATTAAAAGATGGTTGAAGTTAAAAACCACAGCACCCCCTGAATATATCTTAAAAACCTTCATCTTTAAAACCCTATCTGAATAAAAAGGTTTTAGCCTGCCAGCAGGGAGAGGGCCATTCTGGCTTCCATGGGCAGGGAGTTACAGAGTCGAAGGACATCCACCAAGAAGGCCCTCTCTCTCGTTCCCAACAACAGAGCTTGAGATGGAGGTGGGACCAAGAATAGGGCCTCTCCTGAAGATCTCAAGATCCGGGCAGGTTCGTACAAGGGGATGTGGACCTTAATACTCAAGGTCAGAACTATTCGAGAAACAAAGCTAACAGTATAGAGTTGGAAGAGACCTCATGGGCCATCCAGTCCAACCCCATTATCCTCTCTATTACTTCCCCTCACATATTTATATATGGCCCTCATCATGCCTCCTCCAAACTCACAAATTTTGTATTCTGTATTTTGTATTTTTGTATTTTGTCTGTTTGTTTGCTTTGTTCTGTTAGAAATGTAATATAATTTACTGGTTGCTGATGACTCGATAAATAAAAATGTCTCCTCTTAGCCTTCTCTTCTGCAGGCTAAACATGCCCAGCTCTTTAAGTTGCTCCTCATAGGGCTTGTTCTCCAGACCCTTGATCATTTTAGTCACCCTCGACTAGACACATTCCAGCTAATCAATATCACCCTTAAATTGCGATGCCCAGAAATGGACACAGTGTGATTCCAGGTGTGGTCTGACCAAGGCAGAATAGAGGGGTAGCATGACTTCCCTGGAGCTAGACACTACATTCTTATTTATGCAGGCCAAAATCCCATTGGTTTTTTTAGCTGTAGCATCACATTGTTGGCTCATTTTCACCTTCCTGTCTACAACAACAACAATAACACTTTATTTATATTCCGCCCTTCTCACCCTGAAGGGGACTCAGGGCAGATCACAGCACACATACATGGCAAACATTCAATGCTGCTTTGTATAGACAATACACAGACAGACAGAACAGAACAGAACAGAACAGGAGGTGCCATGGAAGGTTGGACTTGAGTCCAGAGGGTGCTGTTGCTCCATTCTCTATGATAAAGAGCCGTCAGGACTTCCTCCTTCCTTTTGGTCGCCCAGCATTCTCTGATCTTCCTTCTTTATGATGCCGTAAAACACCTCCCATGCTTTTTTTAGTGGTACCTAATTTC